GAAATGAGAGATTTAGGTCAGCCCGCAGCCCTGGTCTTAAGAACATAATTAAGGCTATAGCTATGGATATAGCTCCATAACTTGCTGTTTAGGGGGCTGTAACCTCCTGATCCTGACATTCAAAGCTCCTTGATCCAGTGCTTTTTATTTATTTATTTATTTATTCATTTATTTATCTGTTTATTCATTCATTCATTTATTTTTAACATTCATTTTTTAAAAATTTGAGCTCCAAGTTCTTTCCCTCCCTCCTCTTTCCCCCACCTATTGAGAAGGCAAGCAGTATGATAATCATTATACATGTGAACTCATGGTACTTTAACCATTCCGTATTAGCTATGGTGCACCTCCTGTCCCCGTTCCCCCCCCCACCCCGCAAAAAGCAAGAAAAATAAAGGAAGTGAAAAAAGTCTGCTTCAGTTTGCGTTCCGAGGTCATCGGTTCTCTCTCTGGAGGTGGACAACATTTTTCATTTCGGGTCCTTTGGAATTATCTTAGATCATTGCCTTGATCAGAGTGGCTAAGTCATTCACGGCTGATCATCGCACAATGTTGCTGTTACTATGTGCACTGTCCTCTTGGTTCTGCCCACTTCACTCCACCTCAGTTCATGTAAGTCTCCCCAGGTTTTTCTGAAATTGTCCTGCTTGTCATTTCTTATAGCACGATAATATTCTATCACAATCCTATACTATGACTTCTTCAGCCATTCCCCAATTGATGGGCATCCCCTATATTGCCAATCTTTGCCTCCACAAAAAAAGCTGCTATAAATAATTTTGTACAGATAGATCCTTTTCCCTTTTTTAATGATCTCTTTGGGATACAGACCTAGAAGTGGTATTCCTGGGTCAAAGGGTACGCACAGTTTTGTAGCCCTTTTGGCATAGTTCCAAATTGCTCTCCAGAATGGTTAGATCAGTTCACAACTCCACCAACAGTGCATTAGTGTCTCAGTTTTCCCACATCCCCTCCAATATTTGTCTTTTTTCTTTTTTGTCATGTTAGCCAATCTGATAGTTGTGAGGTGGTACCTCAGAGTTGTTTTAATTTGCATTTCTCTAACTGATGGTTATTTAGAGCATTTTTTCATGTGACTATCGATAGCTTTGATTTCTTCTTCTAGAAACTGTTCATATCTTTTGGCTATTTGTCAATTGGGGAATGGTTCTTATTTTTATAAATTTAACTCAGTTTCTTATATATTTTATATTTGAGAAATGGGGCCTTTATCAGAGAAACTTGCTGCAAATATTTTTTTCCCGCTTCCCACTTTTCCTTCTAATTTTGGCTGCATTGCTTTTGTTTGCGCAAAACCTTTTCAGTTTCATGTCATCAAAATTATCCAGTTTATTTCCTGTGATCCTCTCTCTCTTTTTTTTTGGTTAATCAGGCTCTAACTCGTCCTTTCAGCCTGATTTCGTATTCTTCTATTTCAAAGGATTGTAGCTTTAGAGCTCTCTAGCCCGGCCCCCTCAGATTATGGAGGTGCCAACTGAGCCCCAGAGAGGTTCATTTCCTTCACTTGTCCAAGGGCATTCAGGTAGCCAGGGGTCCATGGGTGATTCAAACTCCAAATCCAGCAGTTTTTCCGTTGTACCCTTTGGCGTCTGTGATCCCCGCTAAGCTCTGCCCTCTTCCTTTCCCCTGCCTTTGTTCACGCCGTCCTTCCTTCCTCTCCTCTCTAACTGCTGATGTCCTCTCTCCTCCTTCAAAGCCCAGCCCAAATGCCAGGACGTCTCCCCGATTCCCTCCTCAGATTTCTCAGGATGCCGTGCTCAGACCTCATCCCCTTGGATTCAGGCCCGTCCCCATCACTTTCAATGGCAGCTAGCCGGCGCCATGGTACACAGGGCACTGGACCTGAAGCAAGAAGACCTGAGTTCAGATCTGGCCTTAGACACTCACTCGCCGGGTCACCCTGGGCAAGTCACTTTAATCTGCGTCTGCCTCAGTTTCCTCAAATGGGGATAATAACAGCGCCTGTCTTGCGGGGTTATTGTGAAGAACAAATCAGACAATATTTGTAAAGGGCTTTGCATAGTACTTGGCACATAGTAGGTGCTATATACATATTTATTCCCATTCCCGTCATGTATTTTTATTTCACTCTCCCTGGTATCATGGCTATTTGTTTTCCTGCCTTTCTTCCCCATTAGATTTTAAGAGCAGGCCTGTGCCCTGATCTCTCTTTGTGTCTCTGGTGCCTATCACAGTGCCTTGCATACGTTAGGTGCTTAATAATTGCTTGTTGGATGAGTGAGTGAAGATTTGGCAGATGACTCTGGGGAAGGAGGTCTTCACCAGATGAAGTCACCAAGCCCATCTCTCCCTCCCTGGGTGGGTAATCCCCACAGAACCAGAGGCTATCTGGTCGTTTCATGGGCTTCCATCTACTGTGACCAGGAGTTATTTGGGGTCCAGCCTCCATTGCCTCCTCTCTTCCCTGCTTCCTGGGAGCCTGTTTCCCTCTGGGCAGGACCGCCAAGCCCACTTAACATGAAGCAAGCTGAGAGGGAGGGGCTGGGAGCACAGGTCTACACTAGAAGCCACTTCCCCTCAAATTCACCTAGACTTGACATAATTGAACTTCTTAATGTGGTCATGAGAGGCAGCTAGGCCACCAGGCAATTAGAGCACTGGGCCTGGAGTCAAGAAGACATGAGTTCAAATCTGGCCTTAGGCACTTACTAGCTGGGTGACCTTGGGAAAGGCACTTTACCCATGCCTGCCTCGGTTTTCCCATCCATAAAATGGAGATAATAATAGCTCCTCCTTCCCAAGGTAATTGTGAGGACCAAATGGGGTAATATCTTATAAAGCGCTTAGCCCAGTGCCAAGCACATAGTAGGTGCTTCATCTAGGTGACTGATTCAAAAGCCACATATAGGGGCAGCTAGATGGCAAAGTGGATAGAGCGCCAGCCCTGGAGTCAGGAGGACCTGAGTTGAAATCCTGTCTCAGACCAGACAGTTGACACTAGCTGTGTGACCTTGGGCAAGTCACTTAACCCCAAATGCTTTACAAAAAAGAAAGAAAGAAAGAAAAAAGCCACATATGTCGATCCTTTAAGGGAGGTCGGGACTCCCTTCAGGCACTTCTGGTTCATAATTTGCCTCAGGATTAGATGGGGACAAGCACTGGACCTGTGACTGAGGGTAGAGGTCTGCGCAGATGGGCACCTTAGAGGTTAAGTGACAGGATGTGTCAGGGATGGGGCTTGAACCTAGGTCTTGTTTGTTTGTGAGGCCGGCTCTCTTGTCCTAACAGTGATGATAATAATAGCTGGCCAGCCCTTAGTTATCACTTTAAACAAAGTGTTTCACAGGTGATCTCACTGAGTGTCCTCAACAGTCCTGGGAGGTAGATGAGGAAACTGAGTCTGTGAGCAGTGAAGTGACCCCAGCCATCCGAAAAGGGAATGAGCTGCCCCAGTCTCCACCCCTGCTCTTGGGGGATCCAGAAGGTGGGCCTGGATGGCCTGGGGATCCCTTGCTATCCTCCACCCAGTATAGAGTGACTGATGGAGAGGCAGCTTGGAGCTGCCTTGAATGGAAATTCCCTCTTAGCACTGTGGCTCCTGGCATTTTCTCTGGCTGCTCCCCATGCCTGGGATGTGCTCCCTCCTCCACTCCAACTGCGGACCTCCCTGGCTTCCTGTAAGCCCTAGCTAAAAGCCCACCTCCTACGGGAAGCCTTCCCCAAAGCCTATTCATTCCAGTGCCTTCGCTTCTCCATTGTACGTATGTGTTTGCATGTTGTCTCTCCCATTAGAACGTAAAATCCTTGAGGAGCTGGGAAAACGTGCGCTCAGTAACAGCAACATTGCTGAAGATCCACCAGGAATGACTTAGTTATTCTCAGCGATATCATGATACAAGACAATTCCAAGGAAAAATGCCCTTCACACCCAGAACAAGAAGCCATGGAGTGTGAATGCAGATCACAGCAGACTCGTTATTTTTTTGTATATTTTTTCCCTTTTAATCTTTTTTTTTTCACACCATGATTTATATGGAAATAGGTTTCACATCATTGCGCATATGTATCCTGTATCAAATTGTTTAACATCTTAAGGGTGCAGGTGAGGGAGGAAGGGAGAAAATTCGGAACTCAGAATTTTTAAAGGAATGTTAAAATTTTTCTTTACATGTAGTTGGAAAAAAATAAAGTACCATTAAAAAATAAAAACACAAGAAAGCATAGAAAAAAAAGAACATAAGCTCTTTGAGGGCAGGGACTTTTCCTTTGCCTCTTTTTGTATACCCATTCCTTAGCACTGTGCCTTGCTCCTAGTTGATTGATTAGCATTGCAATTTAAAGTCTGCCTGCTTGGGGGCAGTGCGTGGATGTTACTTACCTAGGGTTACTCGGTCTTTGTGGGTCTCTGGAGAGACTGGGATCTGGGCCTTCCATTTAGCATACAGGCTCATTGCCTGTAGGGATTGTTTCTTTTTTTGTATTTGCCTCCCTGGTGCCTAGCACAGTGCCTGGCACGTAGAAGGTGTTTAATAAATACTACTGTTTTGTTTGTTTGTTTGTTTGTTTTCTTTTTTTGTTTGTTTGTTTTAGGCAATTGGAGTTAAGTGACTTGCCCAGGGTCACACAGCTAGTGTCAAGTGTTTGGTCTGAGGCCGGATTTAAACTCCGGTCCTCCTGACTCCAGGGCTGGTGCTCCATCCACTGCGCCACCTAGCTGTCCCTTAATAAATACTTCTTGATTTGAGCGATTGACTGGTTGATTCCTGGCTGTGAGGATGGTTGTATTCACTCTCCTACACTGCCTCTTACTGATATAAGAAATATCTCTGCAAGACAAGTGAGGTATTATTGAGTCTCATTGGAACATTTGTCTTACTTTTGGGCAGTCAGTCTCATCTGGGTTCCAACCAAGCCACATGTAAAAACTCCCCAAAGTCTAGTGTCTCCCCAGGAGCCAGGAATCCTGTCCTTGGGGAAAAGAGGTGGGCACTCACCCTGACTCTCTTTCCTCCCCACAGACCTGTAACGCTTCCTTTGCCACCCGGGACCGCCTGCGTTCCCACCTGGCCTGCCACGAAGACAAGGTACCCTGCCAGGTGTGCGGAAAGTACTTGCGGGCGGCGTACATGGCGGATCACCTGAAGAAACACAGCGAAGGACCAAGCAACTTCTGCAGTATCTGTAATCGAGGTAATCTTCCCGTAGCCTGGCATTCTAGCGGGTGGTGGTGAGCACAGGTTCATGTCGCCAACGTCCCACCGCATCCTTGGCTTCCCCACATGCCGCTCTTCCTTCCCACTGACCAGGAAGCATCTCCAAATCCTGGAGGCATGGCCTGGCTTTGGCTTCCCGCTAACTGCTTGCTCACTCAGTGTTGGGGGCCAACCCAAGGAGCCAGGGGTGGGGAGGGAGCAGCATCTCTGCCCAGCTTTGGTTCCTTGTGTCTTTTTGGGGGTGTTGGGGAACTGAATGGATGAAGTCAAAGCTGTAAAGATGCCAGTCCATTTGTGTGCTCTAGGGGGCAGGATACATGCATTTGTAGATACAGTAGCAATAGCATGTTGCCGGGGTGGCGGTGTGTCCCCCGGGGAGGGTAGGCTCTGACTTTCTTCCAGCCAACTTGCCGGCACCAAAGGGCCTACCAGCCAGAGGTGTCGGGGGAGTTTGGAATGGCAGAGACTTTGGGGCATAAGTAGATGAGAAGAACCCACTGAGTCCATCGTATCCCGGGCACAATTTCATTTCTATCTCTCTGGACGGCCATTTACCTGGCAAGATTCTGGTAGACACGTGCCCAGAGTGGGCACGAGCACGGTGGGGATTGGGGGAGTTGGGCTGGGAGGTGCCCTTTCCCAGTCGTCTATCTTGGTTGCCAGGCTGGGAGAGGAAGGATGTACGTCTCAGATACCTAGGGACCCTGAGGAATCCAGAGTGGCCGCATGGGGACCAGTTGTGTGGAAAAATGCTTTGTGGTGGCCATGGCGGTGCTGAGGGATCTGTTTGGAGCCCCTGACAGTAGACCAGACAGAGCTGAGCTTGGGATATTTTCATCAAAGGGCACACGTCCAAAGATTCCCATGGGATTTAAGAATGGTGGGCTTGGCAGGGTCAGATCAGGTAGGAAGAACACTGGGCTGTGGGGTCCGAAGATCTGGGTTTTCCTGTTGGCGCCGCCATGTACTTGACACACGATGTGGGCACTTCTCTGAAACTCAGTTTCCTCATCTGTAAAATGGGGATAATAATACCTGCCTAGCCTACTTCGCAGGGTTGTTGTGAGGATCAAAGAACTGTATGGATTTGAGAGCAGACTTTGCATACTCAGGGCTCTGCAAATAAGGCATTATTATTATTATTATTATTATTATTATTATTATTATTATTACTGCTACTACTACTACTACTACTACTACTACTACTACTACTACTACTACT